CTCTCTCTCTCTCTCTCTCTCTCTCTCTCTCCCTCCCTCCCTCCCTCCCTCCCTCCCTCCTTCTTTCCTTCCTTCCTTCCTTTTTTTTGGTTTTTCGAGACAGGGTTTCTCTGTGTAGTTTTGGTGCCTGTCCTGGATCTTGTTCTATAAACCAGGCTGGCCTTGAACTCACAGAGATCCGCCTGGCTCTGCCTCCTGAGTGCTAGGATTAAAGGTGTGTGCCATTGCTGCCCAGCCCCTAAGACTGGGCAATTTTTTACATATCAACATAGATAAATTCAGCAAATGCTAAAAAGCCCAACTGTCAGACCAAATAGAGGACAGATGTCAGAAGGCTGTCACCTGCTCCCCAGATGAGTGACAGGGACAAGTTGCCTGGACCTCAACCATGAAGGAAGAGGTCTAGTATGTGTGACCTGGAAGTCCTTGTACCACTTGAGAGGTCCAACTGCAGTAGTGAGAGGGTTAAATGCCAATGTAGTCAAAAGTTTTCTCTCGTCCCACCCGACCCTGCAGTCCCACAGCCACTTATAAAATAATCACTCGAAGGCTTAATATTATTTACAAACTATATGGCCTATGGCAGGCCTCTTGACAGCTAGCTCTTATATCTTATATTAACCCATTTCTATTAATCTATGTTTTGCTACGTGTTCCGTGGCTTACTGGTCGGCTGGTGTGTTGTTTCTTGGGTGAAGTCTCTAGACTCCGCCTTTCTCTTTCCTGTCTCTCTCCTTGGATTTCCCATCTGCCTTACCATAGGCCAAAGCAGCTTATTTATTAACCAATGGGAACAACATATATTCACAGCGTACAGAAAGACCATGCCCCAGCATTCCAATTTCATTTCCCTTTGTTCAGAAGATGAGACATTTAACACACATTCTACTACAAAGAGGGGAAAAGCGTTCTAAAGGAACTTCGTAGGGCATAGTCAGTGCTGGACACATAGCTCAGTTGTTCAAGGGCTTGGGGTGCAAGCAGCAGGACCCACGTTTGACCCCCAGAAGCCAGACATGATGGTGTGTGCTTGTAATCCCAGCAGTTAGAGGGCAGAGGTTGCCCAACCCCTGGGGATTGCTGGCCAATCAGGCTCGCCATATTGCCAAGGACAGACTGTCTCAAAAAACAAGATGGAACCCCCCCCCCATAAAACAATGCCAGAGCTTGACTTCTGGTCTCCACATGGATGTGTGCATGCACATACACATGTACACACACACACACACACACACACACACACACACACACACTGTTTACACGGTACGTTTGCATCCTGGGCTCAGCTCAATCACACCCAATCTCCGTATCACTTTTACTCAAAAAGAAAAAAAAAAAACCAAAAAACTGGACACCTCCTATAAAAAAACACCTGAAACTGACCTCAGGCCTCTGGATGCTTTTATCACACTTTGTCCTTGTTCAAAGGGAACGCACATTCCACCAAAATTCCTCTGCCCGTCTTTAACAGAAGCCCTGGTTAGCACACATGGGTTGCTTTTCTTAGAGAAATACAATACCCATGACAACCTCAGGTCATCTGAAGAGGCCTCCATCAAAACACAGCAAACCCCGCAAATCCCCTCCCCGAGTCTTCTGAGTCTAGAGGCAGCCTCAGTCCAGTGCCGGCTGCTTTAACAACAGCTGGGCACGCTCCTGCTCTCCTGTCAGTGGATCTGACCATCACGGATGAACGTGGCCAGTGAGCACAGAGACACTGAGATCCAGTGTTAAGTCCATCCTGAGATGTCACTTACCGAACTGAGCCCAGTGTTTACACACCACACAATCATTAGCTTCAGTCACCCTGGCTCAAGAGTCAAATCCTCTGTCATCAAGGCGTATCGGAGTCACACCATATTAGAAATGGCGTTGTGCATATTGCTGTGGCCTAATAAGGTGGTATTTACTACCTTAATTAAAATGGACTCATAATCTGCAGCACAGATAAAGGGTAAAGAGTGATGAGAAGCTCGGTGGCCACGACTATCAGAACTGTTTTCTGTGGCGCAGAAGGGCTCTGTGAAGCCCTCGTTTGTAAAGCTGTGTGTCACTGGTAGGTTTGGACACATGTGATGTCTCACGGACTCAGCCACAGCCTTTTCACATCCAGTTTCCACTTGTGTGTTTTAGCTCTTTCTTCTTTTGCCTAACTCTGGCTCAAATTTTAACTTTCCCAAATACAAGAAAACAATTTTAAAAGATTTACTTTTAATGTGTGTGTGTGTGTGTGTGTGTGTGTGTGTGTGTGTGTGTGTGTGACTGTCTGTGAGCATGTGCACATGAGTATAGGTAGGTACCTTTGGAGGCCAGAGGCATCATCCATCAGAACTGGAATTAGAAGTTGTGAGCGTCCAAAGTGAGTGTTCTTCATCTCTCCAACCCATATTTTATTTTACTTCCAACCACAGTTTCCCCTCAATCCCCTCCACCCAGTTAACCCAAGCTCCCCTCTCCCCACCACCCATCCACACCTCCACTGTTCCTCTTCAGATCCGGAGGAGCCTCCCATGGTATCATCCACCAATCAAGCTGCAGTGACACCCGGCACCTCCTCTTCTATGAAGGCTGGATGAGGCAGGATCCAGCCCATATTTTAAATCTCTCTCTTATCAATTGTGTAAAGCCCAATCTGTGTTCTCAGTATAAACAACCTGCACACATATGACTGGCAGGAAATGATGACACAGTTTCAGATGTAAATTTTCTAAAAACACATGTATAATGAGTTATAAGACACCCAATGTCAGGCTGAGGAATGGGAACTCTGTGCATAAAGTGCTTGCCGTGTGAATGTGGGGGCTGAAGTTTGGATCATCAGCATTCATGTTCAAAACGGGGCAGGTATGCCGCAATGCCAGAGCTAGGCAGAAACATGGAACTTCCCAGGACAGCCTGGCTAGAGCTGGAAGCAGGGAGCCTGCATTCAGTGGAAGACAGTGGAAGCCTCAATAAAATGAGGAACAGTCCAGGACTGTGCCTGATGTCATCTTCGGGCCTACACACACACACACACACACACACACACACACACACACACACACACACCATGTCCACTCTTCTAAACCTTCAGAGAACACTATGAAGTCTGGCATACACATCTGTGTGTATGAGATTGCCAACTCATCCATTTTCCACACATAATTACTCTTAATTCTCAGACTGGAGCCCTGGATTTTAAAAAACGCCTCAGTGGGGCTAGGATGGAATTGGTTGATGAAATGTCTGTCTCGTGTGCCTAGGTCCAGGATTTGATCTCGGAACCACACACACTGGGTGTGCTAGCACACACCTGAACTCTGGCACTTGGGAAAAGGAGGGTCAGGAGTTTAATGTCATTCTGGGCTACACGGTGAGCTTAGGGCAAGCCTGGGACAGGGAGACCTTGTGCCTAAATTTAAAACAAAACATGCCAGTATCACCCAGTCCCTCCAGGGTATCATGAGATACGTCTGTGCTCTTGCCCATAACAGCTCTGAGTTTCTACAGAAACTAGTGCAGAGAACCTGGAGTTCCAATATGTTGTCACTTGGAGAGAGAGAAACCGGAAACCAGGTTCAGGAGGACATCACTGTGGGTTTCTCCGAGGTGAAGCTGCCTCCGTGCCTGCCGAGCTCAGGAAGCAGCCAGCTCAGGAGGCACCCAGCTCAGGAGGCACCCAGCTCAGGAGGCACCGAGTGTCCCTGGCTCACACCTCCCCGACTCCCCGGCTGCTCCAGGGCCTCCGTGGGTCTTGTGGGGACTAAAGCCACAACAGAGCAGCTGGAGCCTGAACCATCTTCTCACAAAGTCCTTTTCCCACCCCCAGGGCTGCCCTGAAGGCTGTTTCCATAGAACCTTCTGGAAAAACCAGGTCCGAGCTGAGGCAGAGCAGAGCGGCTGATTGATGCAGAGGAACCTCCTGGGGGAGTAGGAGCCGCCACGGCCATCACCAAAATGCTGTCCCCGCCACGGCCGCGCGGGGGACACCCCGGGCCCCATGAGTCTGTCTGTCCACGGTCACATCTCCACTCTCATTTTGGGGTCTCAATTCCGCCCACCTCGATGGCCCTGACTTCTCGGGTCAGAGAGCTGATTGTCGAATCTAATAACTATGAGGACGCTGGAGCCGCTGTTATGGAGACTAAGTAGGCCAAGCAAGGCGAGCCCTGCCGCTCCCACCCCCGCCCCAGCGAGGGACCCCGGGAGACACTGTCCATCAGCAGCTGCATGGCAGGCGCTTAAGGCTGCTGGCTGGCAGAGTGACGCAAGAAAACCAGCTGTCTCCGTTCATTTCACCTGTTCTAATTTAGGCCCGCCCAGCACTCTTGAGAGAGGAAACCACATATGCTGTCCTTTACCGAACCAGAGCCTAAACGGCTTCCGGACACCCCAGCTGCGTGGGTGGCACAGAATCTAAAGCTGCCCTTTAGTTTGTTTGTGGTGTCAGATCTGAGGTTTGGGAAGCGCTGTTGTTGTTTGAGTCTTTTGGCTTGGGGTTTGGGTTTGTGCCTGATGGATCGAAGGCGGGGCTTTGCCCACGCTAAGCTGTGTGTTTCCACTGAGTATGCCCCACTCCCAACTTGACACAGTTTTATGACCATATACCACAAGCCCACCTTGATTTCTATCTCCCATGCTAAGCACAGAGTAAAGGGGAGATGAACAGAGTCCTACAGGATGACCTTGTCCATGCAGTG